GAAGTTTTCAATGGTGACTATGTTCAATGGCCCACATTTCGGGACCTTTTCTCCGCCATCTATGTACGCAATCCTCGGCTTTCAGAAGTCGAAAAACTGTTCCATCTCAATGCAAAGACGAGCGGCGAGGCCAAATCCATTGTGGCCTTATCTCCGTTGACCAATGATGGTTTTGAGTCAGCGTGGAGAAACTTGCAGAATCGGTTCGAGAACAAGAGGCTGCTGGTCAATAGCCAATTAAAGATCTTGTTTAATTTGCCTTCTGTTGCCCAGGAATGCGGAAAATCCTTGAAGCATTTAGAGAGCACAATCCAAGGTTGTTTAACGGCCCTGCAATTAGCAAGAGTCGAGACCACGAATTGGGATTGCCTGCTTGTTTTCCTGTGCTCGTCCAAGTTGCCAAAACTAACTTTGGCTCTGTGGGAACAGTCCCTGCTAAATAAGTCAGAGATTCCACTTTGGGATGAATTCCAGGCTTTCTTAAAAGATCGTCATCGAACGCTTGAGGCGATTGAGGAGTTCAAGCCAAACGCGAGCGTTCAATCCAGGGCACTGAGGGCTGAAAATAGCTCGCGGTCGATCCAGACCTTCGAAAACAGAGTTACGGTAAACCCGCAATCCTGCAAACTCTGCGCACAGGAGAACCATCCAGTCCGATTATGTCCTCTATTCTTACGCATGCCAGTCGCAGATCGAGAGAAACATGTAAAACAGCAGAAGTTGTGCTTAAACTGTTTCGCAAGAACGCATCTGCTCCGGGATTGCAACAGTACGCATAATTGCTACACCTGCAATGGACGTCACAATACTCTCCTGCATCGAAGTACCCCTCTGCCAGTCCATTCAGTGGTTATGCCTGACCAGCAGTCCCATCCATCCACAGCAACCCAGCAACAGATACAGTCCACTCCATCGACGAGTCAAGCGAATGTGCAAACGTTTCTTGCCGTCAACACGCAAGGGGTCCTACTGAGTACGGCATTGATAGAAGTTTGCCATTTGGGCATAAAATACTCAGCACGGGCACTCATTGACTCAGGTTCCGAGGCAACCTTCATCTCAGAACGGTTGTTCAACCTAATTAAGTTGCCATATGAGTCCATTCAGGCCCAAGTTTCGGGGGTCAACCTTTCCGTTGCCGCTCAGCCTCGTAAGAGGTGTCAACTCATCATAGGTTCTTCCGTCAAGCCCCATATCCAGATTGAAACTTGTGCATACGTGTTACCCCAGTTAGCTGGTAATCTCCCATCCTACACTCTACCAGAGGCCTCATTAAAGGATCTTCCACCGTTGCAACTAGCAGATCCAAATTTCTTCCGAAGCTCGCAGATTGACGTGCTTATTGGTGCCGATATCCTGCCATCGATCCTCCTAAGCGGCTCCCATTCCAATATTTGTGGAACACTCCTGGGTCAAGAGACCATATTCGGGTGGATTCTTTGCGGTCCGATTGCAGCGAGTCCCACAAGCAGAGTCTGCTCCTTTTCAGCCCGATTAGCAGTCAAGGAATCCAAACTAGACAGCATCCTCACAAAATTTTGGGAGGTGGAGGATGTTCCAGTGAAGCTGGTTAAGGAATCCACCTCGGTTTGCGAGGAGAACTTTATCCGATCCACCAAAAGAAGTGAGGATGGAAGATATGTTGTTTCGTTGCCCTTTAAAGAGCCGGACAATATTAAGCTTGGACATTCCAGACCCATCGCACTAGCTCAGTACCTCCGAAACGAAATGCGATTAAGTAAAGATCTTCCATTGAAGGAGCAGTACGACTCAGTCATTCGAGAGTACTTAGACTTAGGTCATATGCACCAAGTCTCCCCTGACGACTCTAGCAGTTTTTATCTGCCTCATCACGCTGTCTTCAAACCAGATAGCACCACGACGAAGGTTCGCGTCGTGTTCAACGCTTCCAATCCCTCATCAAACGGGAACAGCCTCAATGATATCCTTCATGCGGGGCCTGTACTACAGTCCGATCTGACTATTCAGATTCTTAAATGGCGTTTCTTTAAGTATGTTTTCAATGCGGACATCACAAAGATGTATCGGCAAATCCGGGTCAATCCTGATCACACGCGCTTTCAGAGAATCTTATTCCGCAACAAATACGGTGAGCTCTGTGACTATGAACTCGACACAGTCACCTTCGGCGTAAATTGTGCGCCCTTCCTGGCCATCAGAGTGCTTCAGCAGTTGGCTCAGGACATCCGAGGCCAATATCCTTTGGCCAGCGACATCATTTCGAACTTCATGTACGTGGACGATGTGCTCGCAGGGGCTCACACTCAGCAGTCGGCAGTTTTAGCCATTAAAGAGCTTCGGCTGGCTCTCGAGAGTGCCGGTTTTCCACTGCGCAAGTGGACCTCAAACGAAAGGAGACTCCTACAAGCGATTCCGAGGGAACATTTGGTCAGTGCAGACTTCCTTGAGCTGGAAGATGCCAGCACGGCGAAAACTCTTGGGATCCGTTGGCAAGCTACATCCGATAGTTTCTTTTTTGTTCCAATGGTGATCTCCCTGCAACCTGCCTACACCAAACGAGAGGTTTTGTCTCAAATAGCCAAACTGTTCGACCCGGCAGGGTGGTTATCGCCTTTCGTAATCCGAGCCAAGATTTTCATGCAGGAAATTTGGCTACGGGAGCTAGGCTGGGATCAGCCACTCCCCACCGACCTTGTGACCAAGTGGCAAGAGTTTTTGAAAGGGTATCCGACCCTGAGGGAAATTCGTATTCCGAGGTGGGTGCGTTTCCATCCTGCTGCCAAGGTGCAGTACCATGCGTTTTGCGATGCGTCACAGGACGCGTATGGGGCTGCTATTTTCGTCCGAGTCGAAACGGCTGACGGCTGTTGTGCCCATTTGCTGGCATCCAAGACCAGAGTCGCTCCCGTCAGGTCCATCTCCATACCCCGCCTGGAGTTGTGCGGAGCAGTGCTGCTCACTGAGCTAGCAGCATCAGTAATTTCCGAATTGCCTCCTAAAGCTTATGAGATTTTTTATTGGACAGACTCTACTATAGTTCTTGCATGGCTAGGCAAGCCAGCATGCACCTGGACGACATTCGTGGCCAACAGGGTCGCAAAGATCGAACAGCGCACCAACGAAAGCAAATGGGGCCATGTACGATCCGAAGACAATCCAGCTGATCTGGCAAGCCGAGGCGTCTCGCCCCAAGAGCTTAAGGACAGCACACTTTGGTGGCACGGGCCGGCTTGGCTGCCACTCAAGCAGGAGCAGTGGCCGAGTGAACCACTGGTTAATCCGGAAACCGAGATGGAGCAACGGCCTATCAAATGTCACAGTGCCACAGTGCCGCCAGCAGTGGATATCCTAGAGCGTTTTTCAACCTTCGACAGGGCGCTGCGGGTTCTAGCATACGTGATCCGTTTTGCGAAAAATTGCAAAAAGGAAGACATACCCCCATCGGCAGCACTCACTTCGGCGGAGTTGTCCGACGTGCAAGAGCGATTAATCGTGTTCACTCAAAAGAACGAGTTCCCCGTCGAATATAAGGCTTTAAGTAACAAGCAGCAAATTCCATCCTCAAGTACAATTTCTAACTTAAACCCCTTTCTTGACAGAAAGGGGGTCTTGAGAGCAAGCGGCCGTTTACAAGCATCTGACATGCTCAGTTATGATGAAAAACATCCTATCATCATCCCAGCGCGATGTAGGTTCGCGAAACTACAAGCCCTGTTTACCCATCGCATATCCTTGCATGGGGGGAATCAGTTAATGGTGAGACTGATTCGGTCTAAATTCTGGATTCCTAAGCTTCAGAGGTTGGTGAAACACACAATCCACTCGTGCCGAGTTTGTGTCATCCACAAGAAGAACCTGCAGAGGCAGTTGATGGGGGATTTACCCCGGGCGAGATCCTCTTTCTCCAGGCCATTCACTCATACAGGCATGGATTTCGCGGGGCCATTTGACATCAAGAGTTATGTCGGTCGAGGCTGCAAAGTCACAAAGGGGTACGTCTGCGTTTTTGTTTGCTTTAGTACCAGGGCCATCCATCTCGAAGCGACGTCCGACTTGACGACAGAGAAATTTTTAGCTGCCTTCTCTCGTTTTTCTGCTCGCCGTGGGTGTCCACAACATGTCTACTCTGACAACGGGAAAACGTTCGTCGGAGCCTCCACGTCCTTATCCAGAGACTTTATGGAATCAACCAGAACACTGATCCTCTCCAAACACAGCCTTCAGAACTTGGACTGGCATTTCAACCCTCCTGGCGCGCCTCACATGGGAGGGCTCTGGGAGGCGGGTGTGAAAAGTTTCAAGGCTCACTTCTACAAGTACACAGCAGCAGGGAAGTACACCTTCGAAGAACTGGCTACCCTCCTTGCGAAAATTGAGGCCTGTTTAAACTCCAGGCCTATTTCACCAATGTCCGAAGATCCCACTGACCTTGTGGCTCTTAGCCCCGGACATTTTCTAATTGGTGGACCACTTCTTGCGGTATCGGAGCCTCTGATTGAGGAAAATCCTATTTCCATCATCAATCGGTGGCGGAGGTTGAAGGCCCTGCATCAGCAGTTCTGTGTGCGTTGGAAGGAGGAATATCTGAAGGAGCTCCACAAAAGGAACAAATGGAAGTTCCCATCACGAGATCTCCAAGCGGGAGACATGGTTGTGATCAAGGAGGAGAGCTTGCCAGCCAACGAATGGCGGCTTGGGCGTATCCAGTTGGTATGTCCGGGCGCCGACGGCAAGGTCAGAGTTGCAGACGTGCTTACAGCACGGGGCGTCATCCGACGGCCAGTGGCGAAAATGATTCGCCTCCCAATGGACGGCCCCATTGACCACAGTGACTCCTCAATAGAGTAATCCTTCCAATTGACATGTACTAGTCCTAAGTTGTGTCATCCAACGTCGTCGTTCCGTCCACGTGTCTTGTTCATCCTCATCCATAACACTTCATTATCATATTTATCCATCTCTCTTTTTTAATTTAGATCCGTGTATACAATGGCTCCAACGACCCACCAAAATCCTCGTCGCTCATCCGGGAGCAATGTATACAGATGTCGAGTCTGCAGGACATGTTTCAGAATGTCACATTGGCGGATGACCGGTGGTTCCACCCATCGCTAGTGTCGGTTGTGCTGGGAGCGGACGTTTACGCTGACCTGATGCTGCCGGGTATCCTCCCGGGTCAGGACGGCTTGCCGATGGCACAAAATACGACGCTGGGATGGATCCTTTCCGGACGATGCTCCCTCTCGTAGATCGCAAGCATTCCTCTTGCGCGGGGGGGGAGAATGTTCAAGCTGAACAAGGGGCAATGTCGCCAGGGGAGCATCTCTGGGAACAAAATGTACCTGTCGCCATGTTGGTTGTACTGCTCTCTTTTTTTTGCTACTCTGAAAATAAACTCAAAAGAAGACGGATCGTCCTCCTCATCATCATATTAAAACTCTGCCTCCTTTTATTGGGAATCTGGAATTGTACTTGCCACGGCCCCCGACAGCTTCAAATATAAAATATAAAATATAAAATATAAAATATAAAATATAAAATATAAAATATAAAATATAAAATATAAAATATAAAAATATAAAATATAAAATATAAAATATAAAATATAAAATATAAAATATAAAATATAAAATATAAAATATAAAATATAAAATATAAAATATAAAATATAAAATATAAAATATAAAATATAAAATATAAAATATAAAATATAAAATATAAAATATAAAATATAAAATATAAAATATAAAAATATAAAAAATATAAAATATAAAATATAAAATATAAAATATAAAATATAAAATATAAAATATAAAATATAAAAATATAAAATATAAAATATAAAATATAAAATATAAAATATAAAATATAAAATATAAAATATAAAAATATAAAATATAAAATATAAAAAATATAAAATATAAAATATAAAAATATAAAATATAAAATATAAAATATAAAATATAAAAATATAAAATATAAAAATATAAAATATAAAAATATAAAATATAAAATATAAAATATAAAATATAAAATATAAAATATAAAATATAAAATATAAAATATAAAATATAAAATATAAAATAAAAATATAAAATATAAAAATATAAAAATAAAATATAAAATATAAAATATAAAATATAAAATATAAAATATAAAATATAAAATATAAAATATAAAATATAAAATATAAAATATAAAATATAAACAAGAGGAAACGCTATAGTCGAGTGCCGCGACTATAAGATACCCGTTACTGTTTTACACAATTTTAAAATATTAATTTTGCTAGTGGAAATTCACAAGGCGCCACCTATTGTCAGAGGAAGTATGTTGAGTATGCTTATAGTGACGTCACTGCCCATGTGGAGCCTTATAACCTTAATTTCTTCATAAATAGCGAAATAATGTTCTGATTTGAAACATCTTTTGTAAATCGATAGATATTAACAGAAATAAGTTACACAAGGTCAAACGAAGGCATTCATAATAATATTATAGACTCCACAGTTTTCCGCGGTTTGTGGGCGTTAGAGTGGGCGTGGCCGGATGCAACTTCGTAGCAAGTTGCAGAGGCATCTCCTAAATACGTGTTCCTAAGCAAAATTGTGTAGCTTTTATGGTTTTAGAGATTTTTGCATTTTTGGTTTTTCGGGTTTTGTGGGCGTTTAGTGGGCGTGGCGTGATCGGAAAAAAACAATTTGCATTGGGAGCATCATAGAAACATACATGCTTGATCTGAACTTTCTGTCTCTTATAGTTACCGAGATATCAGCTTTTCTAGAAAATCCGAAAACCGTCTTTTGAGCCTTGTGGGCGTATGGGTGGGTGTGGCCGGATAGTAGTAGCACTATAAAATGCGCTGTCATCTAAAGATTATACTTTCTGAATTTCAACTTTCTATCTACAATAGTTCCTGAGATTTCAGCAATTTTAGTTTTTTGCGATTTGTGGGCGTTAGAGTGGGCGTGGCAGGATGCTGTAATAAACTTGCGCTGTCCCGGGACCTCAAGAATCTTCATGCTTAATCTCAGCTTTGTATCTGCTATAGTTCCTGAGATCTCAGCGTTCATACGGACGGACGGACGGACGGACGGACGGACGGACAGACGGACATGGCTCAATCGACTTCGCTATTGATCCTGATCAAGAATATATATACTTTATAGGGTCGCAAAAAGCTTCCTTCTATCTGTTACATACTTTTCAACGAATCTAGTATACCCTTTTACTCTACGAGTAACGGGTATAAATATAAAAATATAAAAATATAAAATAATATAAAATATAAAATATAAAATATAAAATATAAAATATAAAATATAAAAATATAAAATATAAAATATAAAATATAAAATATAAAATATAAAATATAAAAATATAAAAATATAAAAATATAAAATATAAAATATAAAATATATAAAATATAAAATATAAAATATAAAATATAAAATATAAAATATAAAATATAAAATATAAAATATAAAATATAAAATATAAAATATAAAAATATAAAATATAAAATATAAAATATAAAAATATAAAATATAAAATATAAAATATAAAATATAAAATATAAAATATAAAATATAAAATATAAAATATAAAATATAAAATATAAAATATAAAATATAAAATATAAAATATAAAATATAAAATATAAAATATGTCGTAGTGCGATTCCCAGTTAATGTAGCATTCTGGTAATTTGGGAATTCGGGGAATTCGGGAATTCGGGGAATTCCCTGCTTCTGCTTCACTCGTTGATGTTGAGCAAGTGCACGGCAGCAGGGGCAGAGACGCTCTGCTGCTGAGTGAGGTCCGATGGTAAGATACCAAGAGTCTTGAGTAAGACAGAGATGGCTGCATACGCTCAACTTGAGTGAGTTTATGTCGTGAGCGCTTATGCTGAGTTAGTTGAACTTGGGTATTCGAACCGATCGGAACTCTCTGTGTAACTGCAAGAATCTATAACAGTGTCAGCATGAATAACATACCCTTGCCGCCGACCGACATACCACTGCCCCCGACATCAGAAGTGGGATCTGCTTTGCCTACTGCTCATGCCACCGATCCGTATTTGTCAGCGTTGGAGCTACAAAACCGCAACCTACTGGAAATCATCAAAAACATGCAGACACCAAGGGCACCGCCAGCCGATGGAAAAGCATCATATGTGACTCTTCCAAAATTCTATCCTGACATCGCTGGAGCGGATGCTTCCTCTTGGTGTTCAACAGTTGATCTAATTTTGGCGGATAACGTGCTCGAGGGTAGCAACCTGGTGATCGCCCTAAGCAAAGGCACTAGAAGGCTGCGCATCTCAGTGGCTTTCCCAAATTTGCTTTGCCGGCATCACTTGGGCGCAGTTCAAGGAGCTGTTTATAGAACGCTTTGTTGGAATTGAGACTCCTGCCGCCATGCTATTAAATGTTCTGAATGGTCGACCAAAGCCGGAGGAGGGCTTCGCCGAATACGGCAGCCGTATTGTGACGCTACTTATGTCAAAATGGAAAACCAAGGATTTGGAAGAAATAGCGGTATCCGTGACTCTGGCTCACATGGCGCAAATAGACAACAAGTTGACGCGCTGGGTTTTTACAAACAACGTGAAAACTCGCAATGAGCTACAACAACAATTACGCGCACACTCTTTCAAAAAGCGCAGTATGGACGACGATTCAACAGGCTCGGAGCGCAAGAAGTTCAAGTTTCCGACACCGATGAAATGCAATTATTGTGGAAAGGCTGGCCATAAATACGCCGAATGTCGTGCTCGCTTGGAGAAGGGCCAGAGCAAAGGCAAAATCTACAGCGGCAGCAACATGACTGGACCGAAGGATCGCTCAAGTGTTAAGTGCTATAAGTGTGACGAAATAGGACATTTTGCATCTGCTTGTCCAAAAGGCCGAACGTATGAGAAGCGGGTAGATATCTGCACAGTAGCTCCACCATCTGGAATAATAAGGGCATCCGGTGAGTCTATTCCATTTTGCTTTGATTCGGGTGCTGAATGCTCTTTAGTGAAGGAAAGCGCCGTGGATAAATTTAAGGGAAAAAGAATAAATAACATTGTAAAACTTAACGGTATAGGTAATGATTCCATTTGTAGTACTCAGCAAGTATTATGTAATATAAATATTGAACAATACTGCTTTGAAATTTTGTTACACGTAATTATGGATAAATATCTGAAATACGACGTGTTGGTTGGTCGTGAAATCCTTAGCCAGGGCTTTGGAGTAACAATAGATGCCGATAAATTCCAAATTTATAAAACAAAAAGGGTAGATGTTTTGAATGTAACTGATTACAGAGATATTATAAATGCTGATATTGATTTAGTCGAATCCGATAAAATGGCCTTAACAAATATCCTAAAGTGTTACTCTGATTGGTTTATCAGCGGTATTCCAAAAACTCGAGTCTCAACAGGGCAGTTAGAAATTAATTTAATAGATCCACTAAGGACAGTGCAACGACGTCCTTACAGGCTAAGCGAGGAAGAAAAAAAACCATGTGCGCTGTAAAATTGATGAATTATTGAAAGCAAATATTATTCGTCCAAGTTGCTCACCTTTCGCCAGCCCTATGATGTTGGTAAAGAAGAAAAACGGCACTGATCGTCTTTGTGTGGACTATAGGATATTAAATGAGAATACCGTTGCTGATAGGGTATCCGTTGCCCCTTTATCGCAGACCAGATTGCCAGGCTTCGCGGTGCCAAATATTTTTCGTGTTTAGATATGGCTAGTGGTTTCTATCAAATTCCAGTACATGAAAATTCAATAGAGCGAACCGCGTTTGTAACGCCAGAAGGGCAGTATGAGTTTTTGACCATGCCTTTTGGCTTGAAAAATGCACCTTCTGTGTTCCAGAGGGCCATAAGAAAAGACATTAGGAACTCTAGCACACACATATGCTATCGTTTATATTGATGATGTGTTGGTTATAGCCGAAACCAAAGAAGAGGCGTTGGAACGGTTGCATACTGTACTCGAAACATTAAGTAATGCTGGATTTTCGTTTAATGTAACTAAGTGCTCCTTCCTTAAAACTCGTATAGAGTATCTGGGGTACGAAATAAGTAAACGGGAAATTAGGCCAAACGCACGTAAGATAAAAGCATTGACTGATTTACCGCCTCCACAATCTGTGTCGCAGTTACGACAATTTATTGGATTGGCTTCATATTTCAGACAGTTCGTTCCAAAA